ATTCTAAAAGAAACATAACAATATTGTTTTATGTACTTTCACTTTTCACGTATAGTATAACTACTCTTTAAGATTAAGTACTGTGTATCTCAAAAACCAGAGCTAATAAAAATTTTTCATTGTTATTTTCGTTTTTATCACCCCAAAATTAGTAGAAATTGACTAATTTAGTGTAGGAAACATTCAAAAAATATTTTTTGTTGTGTTGTGAATCTGTATATTAGTTTTCTGGATACAAAAAAAGTAATCACTTTCAACAAACCAAGGACAAATCAGCCAACTATAAAAAAGAATTCACGTTATCTCGTTAGAAGAAACACAAATACTTCAGAGTAAAAAACATTCAAAATCACTACTCAATAGTATGTGGTAGTGGAAATTCATGTAAATATACATAAGAAGAAAAAACTAACATAAATGAAATCCGACTACCTGTTGTTTGCATACGAATAGGGTGGGACAAGTTTCAATAATGTAGTATAAGCTATAAGATAGACTGAAATACTTAGTCCGTCGCCTCTTCTCAAGTTCATTTGAGAATAGTTCAATAAATCGAAACCGTCCATAACAAATGAAAATCTCAGTAAAAATTAGACGAAAGCTTTTTTTCACCCTCAGTGACTCTTACAATGACTCATAGCAAAGCTATAAGTCACTGTGAGAATACTTTTCTAAAGAAAACACACACAGAGTGAGTAATAACTGTATCAAAATGAACCAACTTGCCTCTGTTAATTGAACAAATGTTTGCTCTGTATTTCATTTCAAGTTCTGTATTCCATTTCAGGGTGGAAATGAAGTTTACATGTAAACAATAATTGGGTCATTTCTAATTACAATTTTCCAATGATAACATTATTTTTATCAGTGTTTTTACAGGTAGGTCGCATTTAATTATTTTGATATGTTATTCTATTTATACTGTATCAAACACATCGCATGCTCGAAACTCTCATTATGCGTGAGAACTACAAATCAATCTTAATGTTCAATTGCCAATCTACAGAGCGTCATTTGCGACATAAGTTCTTTTTAAAATGATTTACAATATTTTTAAAAAGAAAGTAAATATTTCTTTCACAAAAGCTGAAGAACTGTGATACGATCCAAATATTAGGTTAGTTTAGGTTAGGTCTAAAGTGAGTGATTCTATTCCACCCTCAACCGCAACGGTTTATTGTGGCTCACCACTATTTACACTTAGACGACAAAAGTCGTCATCTGGTTACGACGACATCACAGCAAACATTTTGAAAAATCTCCCAATATTATTAATGCATCATTTCAATCAGGAAAATTTCCTGACTTCCTGAAGGTATCATTGGTAAAACCACTATATAAAGGAGGAAATCAGGACGACCCCTCGCATTATCGGCCTATTTCCCTAATTCCCACATTAGGAAAACTTATAGAAAAACTAGGCAAGCTGAGGATAACTGTATTTTTGCCAAAACATAAAATCATCAATGAAGAACAGTTTGGCTTTCAAAGTAGTGAAGGCACTAATGATGCAATTTTCTCACTCATGGAAAAAGTTTATACTGGAATCAATAGTGGCGAGGTTGCTGCTGCAGTATTTTGCGATTTTTCGAAGGCTTTCGACTGTGTGGATCACGAAATACTGCTGAGGAAGCTTCCTTATTACGGTTTCCGAGGAGTGATACTGAGCTGATTCAGCTCATATTTGTCAGGTCGTAGCCTGATGATGGAAACAAACCACCGCTCAGAAATTGTAAAAATACATAAGAGTGAACCTCAGGGTTCAATACTAGGGCCAACATTGTTCCTCATCTACGTCAACGATTTGACAAGTATAAATATTTCAGGGAAATTCATACTATTTGCAGATGATACTACCATTCTTTGGCAATCGGACAATGCAAACGATTTAACTAAAATCATATCCAACGATATGATGACAGTGGAAAATTGGTGTGATTCAAATCGTCTTTCTCTAAATATTTCAAAAACTAATATAGTAACTTTCAGATGCGAACTTGACAATATACCCATTATATTGATTTTAACTGTATCAATGGTACTCAATGTTTACTATATGTAAGGAACTTTTGAAAAAACTATGCATCATGTAAGTGAGAACCATTCTGTTTGTTGTTCAGTATAAATGAATTTCTATTCTATTCTATAACAACTGGCACTTTTACCACTTCATCGGCTTTGACACTCCAGAATGAACTGGTTAATGGGACTCTGCCTCGTTTACAGAAACTCAGTATTTCTTGCTTGTTTTGCTGCCCAAATACTCTATAGATGTGACAACGGGACAACAGGAGTTAACTCTATGTCCGAAGTCTTTTTAATATCACCAGCAAGGCACTACAGAACATTGCTTATGAATTAAGAAGATTCGTAGAAGGAATGCTCTCTACGGAAAGAAGTCACAGTAATCTGTGACTTTTTACAGTGTCTTCAGATGAAAAGTGGTAATACTGATGAGGTGATAGACTTCCATAAACATCAAGCGGTCTTTGGTTAAAACACCACAGAAATTTCCATACTTCTCTACGGAATATATCAGAGGATGAAGCCTAGCTTTGCAGCGCTTTACGGTTTCTCTTCTTCGACCACCTTATTGTATCCAAGTATATGAAAGATGACTGGAGCTCAAAGTATTATTGCACCTGGTACACGTACCGTAAATTTTTTTCAATAATCCATTTCCAGACCTTCAAATGAATTTTTACCAAGTGTTGATTTTGAGAGTTCAGAATTTCAATATTCAATATTTTGGAGTAATCAACAATATTTTCATTATTTTTATGTTTTTTTCTACAGTTACGTCATATTCTGCTCGTCATAAATGAAATATTATTACCTTCGATATCACATATATCCAAATAATCACTTTCATCCGTTATTTTATTTTGATTTCAACAATGTGTTCAATAATTGTGAAATTTCAGAAAACATTCGTCGTTGTGATGAAATATTGTTGTTATTCTCGAATGAGTTGTCAAAATCCTCATGAAATGGATTCAAATGAAAATTTATGAGCCCCAAATCATGAAAACCTCGTTCGCGGTAGTTGAAATGAAACTGTTTATGGTATGCTAAAAACAGACAACGGTTCGTAATAATACTCGCATGAACATATGCATCAACACCGCCAAATGAAAGGAAAACGACAAAAACATTAAAACTTTGTTTTTATTACAATGATGAATTCGCCCAACAACTACAAACATATACGGCTACTAAACTTTTTATATTTCGCTCGACGAGATTGTCTCTATTTATAAAACACAAAAAACTGAAATGGAATAATCTGCACCGTGTTTTTTTTTATTGAATGCATCTACATTGAAATTCAGAAAATCAGAATTGTGTAATTTTTTTTCTATGACTATCGAAAAAAGTATTCTTGTTGAATAAGTTGCCAAAATGACACCAAAAATGCCAAAATGACACCAGATTCGTAACTCTTCACCATGAGACTGATCACAGATGAGAGAAAATTCATAATTTCACAGATGTACAAATTGAAAGGGTTATATTTTTCGAATCATCTAAAGGAACGATTCGTTCAGGACAGTCTCAACTCCCTGCACTGTAAGATAATGGACTGACATATCAGAAAACAACTACTCCCCTGGCTAATACCACGAAGTTATTCCTGCATATGCTGTTGGCGATACAACTGCCGCAATAGATTTTCAATTGATGGAGCACACTTGCAGACCGGTTTCGGGCTGTTTGGCCACTCATCAGTGCAAGGTAGTGATCACTCCTAAAAATATAACCCAAGGTGTCTTACGGAGAAACATCGATGTCTACTAGTGAGGATGACAATGTTCCATGTAGGTGAAATTTTCACCTTTCATTTAGTATAATGTAGAAATGCTGAGAAAATCAGTTCTATAAGGAATGTTTGGAATACAAACTGAATAGAGAAGAGTGTTTTTGTACAATTCAATGTTTATATGAAAGTAGCTGTTTCAGGAGGGCTTTTTCTACCAATTTGTGTGATAGTTACTTTTTTGCATGATTTATACATCTATGTGGAAGAGCTTCATGAAGCAAGAGCCCAATTGATCTCTCTACGAAATCCTCCATCACTTGTAAGAATCGATTACAGCTTGAGAAATGGTTCTTATGCAGATTCTGTGAAAAATGTTCTTCTTTACGAATCAGTAGAGAATCTTGAGAATAGAATTGAATTAGATA